CCCCAAAACCCCAAAACCCCAAAACCCCAAAACCCCAAAAATGCTTATCATAATTGAATATTTTTTCTTTATGAATTAAATACAGCCCTATTAGCATTATTCTTTTGGAGAGATTGGTTGCAATGCTCTTCCTACAGGAGCTCTGATGTCCTTTGCTTGGATAGACTTGCAAATTTCTTCCTCAGGGATCCTCTCGAATTCTTCAATCTGCTCTCTAGTGATATCTCTTCTACAAAAAGGACACGTAGAGTTAGCTTCAAACCAGACTCGAATGCATTCAGAATGGAAAGTATGATATCATCCAGGTATTATTTTAATTGTCTCATCTTGTTCATAATTTGATAAACAGATTGCTCATTCCTTGGCCTTCATCTTCATAAAAGGTTGGTAGATAACACATGGAATTTTATTGAAAAGATCCCTTGCATCTGAATTTGCTTGTACTATCTCTTCATTGACATTACCTTGACATTCTCGGCAAGCAATCACAAAGAAAACTATGATTGCTACAACACTTAGGAACTGGATTCCCCAGAATACTACATACGCCATAACTCCAGAGTCAGAATCAATTTGATCATACGTCGCTGTATTCAAAACAGTCGCTAAACTCAATAGATAAACTCATATTATCATAATCACCACCATTTTCTTCAATATAACCCTCGGCAGCACAAGATACATGCACAAAATCCCTATATAAATCGGCTGCGCATATGGCGAATACAGCACAGACCCCTCATCAGCCTCTGAATTCCTATCAAGATACCCTGCCACTATCGCCACAGTGATCATGAACACTATAAACCCAGTCCTATCATCACACATATTTTCAATATTATTCATAACCCACTGAAACCCTCTGGCCAGTCAATTTTCCTTAAAAATTTCAAATTTCCCAGTCACAGGTCAATTTCTGTGCGTAAAATTTGTACTGTGCCTGCTGAGGGAGATTTTTGGGGGGAGAAATGGGGGTTAGGGTGGAAGAAGGGGGGTAGAGGAGGGAGTGTGGGGGAAAGAGAGATTTAGAGAGGGTTATAGAGATTTTTGTGTTTTTTTGGATTTTTTGTGATGAATTAGGAGGATTAAAATTTTTGGAGGTAGATTTTAGTCAGAGTCTTCTTATGTTGGGGTATTTTGTAGTTAGAGATAAATTTAGTAGCACAGACGGATAAAGATAAGAATAAATGGAGTTTTATAGCGGAGCCCATATGCTATTCTCAGTGGCCATATCACAAAAATTATGAAAATCTAGTCTAAACCAAAATTTTGCCTGATCCCCATCAACTCTTCATCCCAGCCTACTTCCAAAAGAAAGGGTGATATTGAATCTACTAATTTCCCTAATATGCCTCCATCACATGTGTCCTTATAAATCCCAAATTCCTTAACTTAATGATCCCATTTCCAATTTTCTCCTTAAAAAATTGGTATTTTCCTTAATTAATAAGACTCTGCTCAAATTTAGGTTTCTACTTAATAAGTCTCAGACCTTATTCACATAAATTATTTCAAAAAATTATGCGAGAGTTTAGCCTGACGCTTAAAATAATCTCTGACTGGATTTTTACTTTTACCTTTGAGGGCCAACGACTTCGGATATTTTTGAAAATCCTAATTTACTCTACTTTCTTCTTATCCTCCTCTTCGTGACCATTGATGCTATCTGTTATTTTGGTAGCAATATAATAGAATATGACTCCTATGATGAGGATTACTACTGCTGCGACAAGTGAGGAGGAATCTTTCCAAGTCATGAAAGGGTAAGGGAGGTATCCACCGATAAATTTTGTCTGTAAGAAATTGTTCAGGGTGTAAAATAGTCCGAAGATCACCATATTTTTGACTTCTGAGAATATAAACATTGGTCTAGCAATGATCATCTCTGCGAAAGCTGCTAAGAAGGGAAATATGTGAACGATATACATAAAAAATTGGTGTTCCGCAGACTTTTTCTTCATCAAATCTCCGATTTTAGGATGAATGGCAGTCCAATAGACAACAAACACTATTAATTGGGAGGTAAAAGTCAGTGGGTATAGTATTTGGTACACCTTCAAAGCTTTATTAGGAACTTTGATTGATCACACCTTCATCAATGATATCACAACTGCCATTGTTGAGAGAAATGTGACGAGTGTCAATGAAATTTGGGTGAAATAATAGCTCCTTTTCAAGAAAGTACTCTCGTATATTGCTATATATTCTGTATACATCGTAGGAAGCCAATAGAATAAAACCCTCATGATCAAGAGGCTCAAATCCCCTCCATATCTTGTCTCATGGAATCTATGCATCCGTTTTTCTGATAAATTTCCACTGGTATCCATGCAAAAATTATTAACTTTTAAAATTACGTAATTTTCACCTAAAATATATTTTTAAGGGGTTTTGGGGTTTTGGGGTTTTGGGGTTTTGGGG